AATTCACCTCAAAATCAATCATGTTGAGCAATAAGAGATCAACTCTAGTCTCATAACCCCCAATGGCAACCACACATGATCGATACACACATTCCACCATAATAGAATCACCCACCGGTGTAGATACATGAACATGTAAATCTCATGAATCACAAGGAATATTCAAATACCGAGCAAAGTATGATGACACATATGAATAAGTGAAACTAGGGTCAAATAACACTGAAGCATCCCTGAGGCACACGAAAATAATACATGTGATCACGACGTTTGAAGCAACTGCATCTGTCCTGACGGGAAATGCATAGCAACGGGCTTGTCCACCACCTGACTGACCTCCCCCTCTAGGGTGATCTTGTCCCGTGCGATCTCCACCCCGAGGTGGCTGAGCGGGTGGTGTAGCAACTGGTGCGGGAGTCATAGTCTGACCTCCCTACTGCACGGGACCTTCGTGGAAACGGGGGCAATATCTCATCACATGCCCCAACTCCCCACACTCGTAGCAACCTCGAACTGGGAATGACTACGGGGCTTGAATCGGACCCCGTGAACTAGAATAACCACTGGAAGAGCACAGTAGTGGCGAATCATGAACTGATGGAGTGCGATAAGAGATTTGAGATGGGATTACACTGAAAGAAGACTGTACTGAAGCTCCTCGACTGGGAGCTAGTGAATGATAAACTGGTATGCTAAACTGGCCCCTCACAAACCAACCTCGATCTCCACACGAGGCACCACTAAATCCTCTATAATGATGAGGCCTCTTGTCAAAGGTCGTCTCCCTACCCTGGCCTCTGATGCGCTCGGTCCTCCTGAAGATCTTCACAGCCCGAGTAAAAGAAATATCATCCTCAGTCTCTTGGGCCATTTTTATCTTGATACTATATGTAAGGCCATTTGTAAACTTTTGTACCCTATCCCTCTCAGTAGGGAGAAGAATAACAGCATGGTGTTAAAATAAACAAATGTGGTCTCATACTGAGTAACAGTCATGCTCCCTGCTGAATGCGCTCATACTGACTACGGAAGTCCTCTCTCTGAGTGAATGAAATGAACTTAACTAAAAAAAACTGTGAGAACTGCGCCCAGGTGAGAGAAGGTGAACCTGATGGCTTGCCCGAACATACTCCTGCCACCACCTCTTGGCAGAACCAAGCATCTGAAACACTGTAAAATCAACTCCATTAGGCTTCACTATACCCATATTGTGCAATATCTCATGGCAATGATCTAAGAAATCTTGGGGTCCTCAGAAGGTATACCACCAATGCGAGGAGGAATCAACTTGGTGAACTTGTCCAACCTCTTCAGCCCCTTTGCTAACATCTTGGGTCCCTTACCAGGCTATGTAAAAACAATAGGCTGAGCTGCCCAAACTGGTAGAACTTCCCCAACTGGTAGAACTGTTGGGGTCTGATACCTGTGAGCCATCTGTTCTAGAGAGTGAGTAGCGGGAGTTTGGGCCCCTCCCCCAGCCTGAAACACAGCTGGTGCTACAGAAAATATACCGGTCTGGGCCAGACTATCCATAAAATCAACCAAGCGAACTAGGGCATGCTGAAGCACTAGAATAGCGATGAACCCCTCTAGGACCTGAGCTGGTCCTACTGGCTCGGTCGGAACATGGATCTCCCCCTCCTGCTCTATTTGAGGCTTAACATCAGGTGCCGCTACGCGTGCTCTAGGCTGAGCTCTGCCTCTACCTCTAGCTCTACCCGGCCCCAACCCCTACCCCAGGTAGTGGCTTCAGTATGGGGCTCCAACTTCTCACCATCTATGAGAGAATAGAAGAGTAAAGATTCAAACTTCGGAATTAACAAATCCGCACGACAAGAATGTAAGAAAGTGAAGTTTTTTAACTGTTCGGTAGCCTCTCGAAGATAAGTACAAACGTCTCCTTACCGATCCTCAAGGTTCTACTAAACTTGCTTATGACACGTGAGACCAAGGAAACCTAGTGCTCTGATACCAACTTGTCACGATCCAAACTCTCACCGGAGCCGCGACGACACCTAACACCACTTGCTAGGCAAGCCAACAATTAAACAACAATAATAATCACAATAATGGGAATAAATAAATCTCAATAGCGGGATAATCATAACAAAACATCTGAAATAATAGCAATAACGTAGTTACAACCATCCCATGATCCAGTGTCAACGAGTATATGAGCACTACAAATCTAAAAATACAGAGTCAATCCTCAATACAAACTGTCTGAATGATAGAACATTAATAACAAAATAAACAAAAGAGAACTTCAAGGTCTGTGAACGATATAGCAGCTACCTCATAGTCTCCACAAGTTGGAACCGGTGCAAACTCTAGCAAGCACCACGCTCGGAAGTACCTGGATCTGCACATAAAGTAAGGAGTGCAGTATGAGTACAACTGATCCATGTACTTAATAAATAACAAACCTAACATCGGGCTGGAAGCAATGACAAGCTCGGAACAAAGAGTGTCCAACACCAATAATCAATAACAAAACATAATATAATGATGGAAGTAAAAGTGAATAACTCAAAAGATATCATGTTCAGCTCGTTCACAAGTACGAAAAATTAGACATGCTTTCCAAGTATAACAGTCAAAGCCCAATCTTTCACCGGAATCATTAAAACATGAGTTTATCAAGGAAATTATGATTTTCCAAACTTTCAGCAACATATAAGACATTTTATTTACCGTCTAGCATTAGTATACATCTCTATGCCTACATGTCAAATATGCATGTCAAGTCAATAACAACATAGTGAAGCCATCAAGTATACTCACTCAGCATACTCATGGTGCCTGGCACAAGTGCCCCTCACAATCACACTCAACACTGTACGGGTGCCTTGCACAAATGTCCCTCACCAAAGCACATACATAACCTTATGCTTGCGCTTGCTGTAAATACCAAATTCCGGAGGGCGGATCCTTCCCAAGCGATAATGGAATATAAGCCATCAATCAATGTAACCATTGCACACATGTAACCGTTGCAGCGTGCAACCCGATCCAATATCAATCGGCTGCGGCTTGCAATCCGATCAAATATAATTCACAATACGGCTCTACGAGCCACATCAGTCATTAACCGCTCAAGTCTCAATGGTTCACGTCTCACAGAACTCAACCTAAATAGTATCACATATAGAAAGCATCAACAACAAGTGATATTGACATTCAAACAATGTACAGAGATTGAATACAAATGAAGCATTATGACTGAGAATGTGACTACAATTAAGGCAAAGAGCTCAAAAAAGCAAGAATAACCCTATCATGCTCAAACGATTAAGCACATAGCCTAGACATGATTTCTAACATGAATCCTAGCTCAAATAATCATACAAGTAGAGAAAATACGGATATAACGAGACATGAAAGCAAACAAGTCTCATAGTAGCCTAAAGTCTACCCGGATTATGAATACCTCGGTATACGCACACATGCCCATCACTTAGCATGTGTTTCATGCCCAACACCTCTCAAGTAACATAGTTCACAGGAATAATTACTCTCAAATAAAGTTTAGATATGTTACTTACCTCAAAGCGCGTGGATCATACTCCAAAAAGCCATTCCCATGCGAATCGACCTTCGAGCGACTCGAATCTAGTCAAAACAACTTACTATCATCAATAGAAACCATAGGAAATAACCCAAAACAATGAAGCTATAATCATGAATCAATTATGTTAATTCAACTCCGGGCCTGCATCCCGGAACCCGTCAAAATATATAAATCCCGAACACCCATACCGATACGAATCCAAATTGTGTGTTTTATCCAAATTCCACCTCAAATCGATACTCAAATCATCAATATTCACTCTCAAAAACCATAGGAAAAAAAATCCCCTTTACCTTTAATTCACATAAATTAGGTGTAATAATCTATAGGTAATCAATATCTATAATAAAAAAAAATTAAGTCAAATGCACTTACCCCTTCAATTGTGATGAAAGCCCTTCAAAAATTGCCTTCAACCAACTCCACAACTCCCAATTGATACGACGGACCTATCCCAACTCCCGTAACCACAATACAAACCCGATATTATTAAAGTTAACTCCCGGTCAAACCTATGAACTTTTCAAACCTTCAACTTTTTAACTTTCGCCAAGTAGAACCAAATCAACCTACGGAACTCCAAATCTAAATTCAAATATACGCCTAAGTCCAAAATCACCATACGAACATATTGGAGCCACCAAAATACCATTCCAGGGTCGTCTACACAAAAGTCAAACTCCGGTCAACTCTTACAACTCAAGCATCCAACCTTGAGAGTAAGTGTTCCAAGTCAATCCAAAACTTCCCGAAACAAAACCAACCACCCCCCGCAAAGTCACATAACCACAAATACACACATATAAAGCATCAAATAGGGATAACGAGACTAAAATACTCAAAACGACCGATCGGATCGTTACGTCTGAAATGCAAAATTAATTGCTTTGGCCATAAAAATTATTTTTAGGGTTAAACAAATACGAACGTAGATCTTTACACACGTACTCCAATTATGGCAATGTATTATATTGTCAGATTCATATTTGAGAGGCTACATAAAAGATTTTGTCTGTTCTTCCGGTTAAATTGACCAGAAAGAATGTGTCTAGAGTTTTTATTTTACTTTATCAAATTATCGGATTTTATATATCAAATTTGTGAATATTTACAGCTCCAAATAATTACATAAGAAAACAACAGTAGTCTGAGCATGCAAGCTCCAGAACTATCTGCCTCAAGTTCATCTAATTTCTTCATCCTACATCAATTGAATTTCTGGTAAACACAGTCTATATAGGATAGTATTCAACTTCCTTATGTAAGCTCCCACTTTAATTGACGGACTTGCTCTAAAGTAGATGTCCTGCACTATCAGTCGAATTATAATCTCTGCTGGCCTCAAGTTTTATATTAGTATAAGATATTGATGAAAGCAAACGTGTCAAAGGAAAAAATTAAAAGGGAAACAAGTGATGAAAATCAAGAATAAAAAGCTGAACGCGAAGCTTTTACTACCCATTTAATTTTAAGGGTGAATTAGAACATTTTCATTTTTCATTCCCAAATGGAGAGACCACTCCTTGACTTTTACACAAAAAGTAGATTACACATTTTTTTCATGAAGAACAATTGACAACATTAGTGCATTGATTCAAAGCAACACTTAGAAATTTAAACATTGCAACAAGTCAAAAATTAACATTGCAAAGACAGCTTCATTTTTGGACGCTACAGCTCTTGCAAGATTGAAGCCTTCTTCTCAGCTGGAACCTTTGATTTCACAGTCGTAACATCATCACTAATATCGTCAACTATGGTTGACCTTTCTTTGATGTCCACAACTGGTAATTCTTGGTCTTTTCCTGTCTCATTTCCTTTCCCCTCCTTACTCTTTCCCCACACCACAGAGTAAAGTCCCATGACTATGATAATTGCTCCAATGCAGCTGAAATTTGTGTCAAATGAATCAGGAAATTATTAGACTAATTAAATTGACAGAGCAGCAACACTTCTTAATTTTTTGTCCTTTAAATTAAAAAACTTCGTTGTTAATTACCTTCCAAGGTGGACTGACTCAGCCAAGATAATAGCAGCAAGAACAGAAGTGATGACCATACTCAAAGGGCTAAAGGCTGTCACGAACACCGGGCCTTTAACTTTATTAACTATACTTTGCACATAATATGCAATTCCCGAGCAAACGATTCCCTGACCATACACAAATTGCTTGCTCTAATTAGTCGCTAATAGTAGTAAAATTATATAATCACACTTGTTGGTGGTAAAAATTTACTAAATAAGAGAATTGTACGTTTCACATTAATTTAGCAAATAAGGAAAAACTTACAGAATAAGCAGCAGCAAGGAGCCTAGAGTCGAAGCCAATTTTCCATGCATTCCAATCACGTTCCATTATAAGAGCAACAATTCCTCCTTCCACTACGCCCATCACACATACCCATGCTGCCAGAGATAGCTCTGCTGGGTACTCCTTCAATGTCATCGACTATGCATACATATGCAAAATTGCTCAATTATTATATAAATAAATGTAGTAATAAAATATTTAAATGAGTAAAATGTTCATTTTTTTTTTCCTAATTCTGAAAATAGAAAATACTACACTTACTTGAACAATAAAGAAACCGGACCAACCAACAATGCAAGAGATGAGCTCAATGGTTCCGGCGACCCAGTTCTCGGGGGTTGCCGCGGCGGCTGCAGTGTGGCTGCCGCCGCGAGAGTGTGGGACCAGGTTGAACATTGGCCCTTTGTAAAGTGTCATCACCATTGCTCCCGCCACTGTTATTGCTGTTCCTATCACCTTTGCCATACTTGATTTCTTCTTCAGGTTTACTTTCTCAATTCTAGTCATAAAGAACCAGAAAAGATTATGTTAAATAAAAAGAGGAAGAAATTATGTTCATGAGTTTCTATTTCTTTTCTATAATATGGTTTTTCATTTTTTTGACATTATTTTGTTCTATAGTAGCTATATATTGGACTATTAGATGATGAATTACTTTAGCTTTTTAAAAAAAAAATTATTTATTTAATTTTTTTGGTGAAAAATATATCTCAGCCACTAATAAAAGCTAGCACAATGACAACTACGAAGTAATAATTAGGAGTTTAACTTATATGTCAATATTACAGGAGCAACCACTAACTTTTTTGAGATCATTGCTTTCCAAGTGGGAAGCAAGTCAGCAACTTTGTTTAGGTGAGATCATACTTTTATAATTTATTATTTGTGTAATGAACTAGTAGTGTATCTTTTATGGGATAAAGAAAGGTGTCAAAATCCACCATGTCATTTTATTTGCTCTTTTTTGGTACTTTCTTGATTTTAATGGAGTAATTACGGTACTATTTTTACAAATTAAATTAGTAAATTAGTACCTGAAAATAACTGCAAGAATAAAGGTGACGGCAGGGAGAAGATTGACAAAGGCAGATGCATAGGTTGCAGTTGTGCTCTTCAGTCCCACATAGTACAAGTTCTGATCAATAACTGGCCTGAAATTCCATATATTTAAAGGCTTTCTTTTAGAACAACAGTTATATATCATCAAACATATATAAGGATTAAAACCTTTCGATTTAATTGTAAAATAAAATAAAATCTAAACTTCTTAAAATTTATTCCGTGAAATGATATCTCTTCGGAATCATTGTATGCTCTGATACTTTGATAGTACTAATATAGATGCCTTATTCTTGATCAATGTGTCGATTCCTCAAATAGAATCCATAACACTGCATTCACTTATTTTAAAACATTTTTGTATCTCTAGTAGCTTAAACTTTTCAAATAAATTAAACAGACAGAACTAATGAATGAGGACTTTTTGACGTTCTTCATTGGATTTATTTGTCAGGTTTAACGTCAAAGAATAATATGATTAGTGATATTTCTAATATAGGAATTTGCTTATTGTTTTCCTTCAACTAATTAAAGCTAACCTCAGAAGATGAATGAAAAATGTGGAAACACTATCATCCAAACATATTAAAATTTTAATAAAAGACGTACCTCTCTAAAGACCATAAAAACAAGACTTTTAGAAAGGTACTTTGCAAGTGTGTATTTAATTTATTTAGTTGGATGTGATCATTAATTAATTGATTAAATGCATCTTTTCTCTTGGCATAAAGCATGTAAGACAATATGGGCTCTAGCCAATATAGGTGGGTGAATGAAGGTAATAAAAAAGAATTAGTTTATAAAGTAGAAAACCCAGCAGGAATAGAGAAGAAGAAGTTTTTTAGTCGGGTAGGAACATATGTTAGGGTTTCGGTTGATGTGAAGCTATAAAAGTTTTGCTACTATCTGTAGTAGTATCTTTTAACTAAGCATTCTTTAATATTACTCTTAAAGAGTATTTCAAAGGAAATAAAAAAAGAAAGAAAAAAAATTGAGAATCTTTCGGCACATGGAAAATATCTCAATTTCATAGATTGTTAAATCTTGCATTTGTTAGAAAGAATTCAGGTGAAAATATATATAGATAATTGAGTAGGAGCTCAATATAGAGCTGCTAAATTATATTTTAAAGTTGGAATTTCACTAAACCTTTTAGTTGCCTTCCAAATGCTTTAAGGGCCGCTTCGTATACAAACTAAATTTATACCATATGGGAGGTGGGATAAATAATCCCAAATTTGATGGTATAATGTGGGATAAGATAGGATGTTCTGGATTAAGTCTGGGATTAAATTTATACCGTGTAAATTTATATCGCCAGCCAAACGCGGTATAAATTTAATCTCACATCTTATCTCTGGTACCGAATGACTCCTAATAGTTGACAAAAAGAAAAATAGTGAACATCTGACATTTAACTGTCGTACATAATCCCTTTCATGCAAGAGTAACCTTGTAGGAAAACGTCGGACAACTTATAATGTTTCTGTATTCAGTTTTGATACATGATGTATGATTATGAAGGCTAAAACAGAAAAAGAAAAACTATTAAATGAAGTAAAAGATAAATAAGAAAAAAGAGACATCAGAATCTCATGCGTTTGGATGACTGAATAGACAACTAAATTTTACGAGAGAACAACCATTTTGGAGTATATATTTATAGTAATTTGTTCACATGTAAATTGAGTAGAATATAAAAGTGTGTAAAAGAATCACATACTCTAGAAAACCAAGAGCCAATATTTTAATAAAGACCCTGAGTGTCATCTTTGGCCTTATTTTCCTGCAAAAGAAAACAAAACAAAAAGAAAAATATTCTGTAAGATACTTGTAGGCAACTTATATTCTATTGTGCGATTCAGATTATTCAGCAAGATGGAAAACGTCAGAAATTTATGATAAATTCTCAAATTAGGATGTAATTAGATAAACCTTAGTGTACCACCCTCAAACAACTTAAGATTTTCGTTTAAATTATCAAAATTTTCAACATGATATCATAAAAAAAAACAGACAAAGATCTTGCATGCGTAGAACTTAAACTTTTAAAGAGATAGTCACACACTTCAACGCACTGAACATAAATGAGAACTACGATCCTGAGTCAAACAAGGTCATACGTAGGCGGATCCATGTGGGTTCCCGTGAATCCAATAGTTTTTTCACATACCCAGTATATGTTTAAAAAAATTCACTAAATATTTGATTGTGAACCCAGCTGCTTATTGCATATTACTTAAGGTCACTATAGGAACCCACATATTTTAAATTTTGGATCCGCCTCTGCAAACAAGGTCATATGAAGTGATCATATATATGCACTTCCAGAGGAAATGAAAGGGGGGAAAATCGTCTGACTTCGTGGTGACTGAATAAGAGAGGTTAAGGAAGTACAAGGAAAAGAGGATAGGATAAATATTTTACCTTTCAAGAACAATGGCAAAGGGTGCAACAGCAAGGGTGGCAAATGCATGGCGATAGACAACAAGAATCCAGTGACTCATTCCCCTTTTGAAGCACATCATTGTAACAATATACATCCCTGCGTAACCAAACTGCAAGGAAACCATAGCCAAGTAAGGCTTCACCTTGTTGAGGAATGGGCCAAATGACCCACCAAACATTTGGTCTGCCATTTCTCTCCTTCTCTTCTTTCTACACACAAAGAATGAAGGGGTTAGTTTTAGGATGGGGTATGCAAAATATAGGAAGTGTGCCCTTTTATACACAAAACAAAAGGTAAAAAGCTATACCAAGAATATTAATTAATAATAAGAGTTTAACTAAATTAGATATGGAAACCAAAAAACAGTCTAGCTTATTCATGGTTGCACTAACTCTTGTTTCTCACTCAGATTCCCCTTATCCATTTTAAACAAATTATGTTATGTATATGCAATGTAGTACCTATTCTTCAAGCAACAAGAATCTTTGCTGTCATGAACTTAATAATTAAAGAGAGAGAAATAAGTGAGGGTTTTCTTTTTCTCTACGTAAAATCTTTTCTTGGAAAAAGAAAAAAACTCTTTATTTTTTATTTTTTTCATTTTGTATTTTATGGAGGTGGATTTGAACCATTGACCACCAAATGCTGCTTGGTTTAGTGGGAGGTGATGTAGGTGTAAAAGATATGTGGTCTTTGAGAGAAAGTGGGTAATGAGTGGACACTTTTCTTGAAAATGGCTCGATTGATTATGTTGCAGTTGATTAGTATTGCCTCCGTCCCCCATCTTCAATCTTTAACATAAAGGAGGAGATCATAAAAAACAAGCTATTACCGAGGACTAGTACAAGTGACATATTTTTTAAATGAATTACATGTACATTTGTATAATTGAATTCCATGTATGTTGATATACAAGTGGTTCTTCTTTGCTTTAGGTTTATGATAACTTACTCATATTACTTTGTATCATAAAGTACAAGAAAATGACAACCCAATTGCCTTTCTTTAATTTTAAAGTTGAGAGCCTATTAGTATTACATATGAAAAACAAAAACAATAGCAGCAAGCATCGATTGATTTGTTTAGGCGATCCTTTGATATGAAATCTCTAAACTCTAGTTAGTTTAACAAGTATGATGATATTAATGCCACAGACCCAAAGGGTTGTTAACAATATGCATTTAATGCATCGACCAACTTAGTTTATCGAACTTGTTTAATCGCAGTTATCTGGTGACAAGGTCAACGCATCACAATGACTGACCACAAGATGAATTAAAAAAAAAAAACTTATATATTGAGAAAAAAGAAGAAGATGAATCAACATTTGACTCTATGTTTTCAATTTATTCTCAATAAGCTAAAACTCAAATTATACTTTCAGTATACCGTAGACACATGCCTATGTACTGCCAGTAAATTCTTAGAGGCGGATCTAGGAATTGCAGTATATAAATTACTAAAATAACCTCAGGTTAATATATAATGATAATTGAGGTCACAATTAATTATTTATAGATATTTACTGAATTTCTTAATAAATATAAAGGAACTACACAAAAATTAATGGGTACATATTAACTCGTAACCAATGCATTAGATCCGCCCTGTACACCCTATCAAACTACTCAACATTGTAATTTGTATGAAATGAGGTTTTCAGTAACACTGTACAGTCTCGATTCTGGTACAGTAAATAAAGACTGTACAACATATACAACTCGGTTGTAGGGCATTCGGATTATTTTAACATTGGCATGTGAAGTTTCTTTCAATTTCTTATTCATCTTGTATTTTGTTGTCCTTTAGCATATTGATAACAATCAGAGAATCTAGTTCAATGGTGAAATTTCTGTCCATTTTGAATACATTAGTTTCCTCCAAACCAGGCTGCATGAACCTTTTTCGCAAAGTTGTTATTGACTTACTGCTATATTGAATTTGAAAGGAAAAGGTCATGATGAGATCTTTATTGTCATTTCTAAGTACTTCACCCATTCCACTATTCCAGTCTTTTCATTACCTTAGTAAAACTTCCATTTGTACCCAACTTAAATGAACCTATGTTTGATTTATGCTAATAGACGGTGATTATTATAGAAGTGATTTGTTGCAGCTTATGAATAGTATTAAGAGACTTCACTTACCACCGAGTGTTAAACATGTATATATCTAATAAGGCTTTGCTGATCTTTTATTCCCGACGGAGAACCAATAAGTTTCCATATATCAGCTGCATTACCTTTCATATAAACATATTGCATGGTTTCATTTTTAGGGCTTGAGCAGCAGTTACATCTGGAAATCATATGTTTTCCAAACTTGATAATCATTTTATCAAAAGGAAGTTTCTCATGGTGTCACGACCCAAAATTCCATGAAAGGTCGTGATGACGCCTAATCTCCAAGACTAGATAAGCCAACATGCAAAATAGATCTAATCAAACGGAACATGATATAATATAACTGAAATAATATAAATAGCGGAATAAATCTTCAACAACAAATAATATATGTAAAAACCACAACATCAAATCCCCCAAAACCAGATAGGACGGAGTTATGAGCTCTAAAACTGAATACAAGAAAATATCCAATAGTACAATATTGTTTGAATGTATAAATAACAATATGAAAGAAAGGGGAAGGGGACTCCAAGGGTCTGCGGCGATCATGCAGCACTAACTTGAATCTTCTCTGTCAGCTACGAGCCTCACTCCTGAAGTCTGCTACTGCCAACGCCCGGATCTGCACAAAATGTGTAGTAGTGTAGTAGGGGTACGGGATAACGTGTACTTAGTAAGTATCAAGGCGAATTTCGATGAAGTAATGACGAGGTTCAAGTCATGTCATACTCACTAATCAAACAAACATGAGCAATTTATAATAATTTGCAATAAGAATATAACAATAGATGCAATATCATTAAATACCATATTAAGAGATACACTCAACATGGATAATTCAATCTTGACTAACAACTCATCAACATATAACAACGGCAACATGTTAGAATTCAACACAGAAGCATTTAGAATGCATAACTAAGGCATAAATGATTCACTTGGATGGTCAAAACTTCCACTTTTATGCTCAAAACGCATCATAATCGGATTCTATATCAGAATCAACCATTGTCTGTCAATTTATTAGAATCCACGTGTATGCCATCAAGAGAGAAATATGAGAGAGCGACCCAAGAGGATGAATCCAAATTAACACGCTGCACGGTATAATACTCGTGCAAATAACAGTAACAATATTATTATAACTGCACTGCAAAGACCTCGTGCCACAACATTTTCAATACCACAACAACTGCACGGAAGAGACCATGTGCCAATTCCAAATCAATGCTCAATATATCCGTATGTTCCATAATTGTTTACCGGAAAAACGGTAAATACAATTAGATTTGATTTTGTGGTTCTAAAAATACGTGATTTATTTTTATGCTAGTTGTTAAGCAATGGATGCTAAGTGTGAGACTAGAAAATAAGATAAGAGCTTGAAGACAATGTATCAACCAAACCGAGTGTCTAAGAATCGGGGCCTCGAACTGGCTGATACGGGGCCTCGAGGTCGAGCTAGGCGTTAGGCTCTGAACAGTTAGTGGAGAACTAACATTTCTAAGGGCCTTGATGAGGGCATTTTATGATCAATGATGAGTAATAAATAAAGAACGATCAATGAAATACAATAAATATAAGTAATAAGATCAGAGGAGAATAAGTTTAAGCTAGAGAGCAGAGAATGTTCTATTTCTTATATTCAATGTTGTGCGTTGTGTCTTACAAAATGACAAAGATCCCATTTATATATGAGGGGAATCCCAACATGGTACAAATGCGTTTATTACAAAGATACGCGGCTGATATCGCCATTTAATGCCACGGCACGGGCTTGTACTAGCCTAGTAGACTTGGTCAGCTTTAATCAAGTGCCTTGGGAACTTCCCGTTTTGTCATCATAACCACCGACTTATACTGCCCCGAGGTCGAACGTCGAGAACCCTCGGGGTCGAACCTCGAGCCGTGCCTCGAGCCTTTGGAGACGTGCTTGCGAAGCGTCATAACGGCCATAAAATCGGATCTTCTGATTTTTACCGTATACATATAGTCCCCGCGTTTCTTAGAATGAAAATGATAAGAACCGATCCTGATTCTTGACTTTCTTGAACATCTTGTGATGACGTCACGCTTGTGACGCTAGTGCTCCAAGTGACTGAAAACACCCTATCAATCCATATTCAATATACTATCGGTTTATTCTCCTAGAAGCGGTCATATCACCGCCGATCCGTTTCCCAAAAAGCCTTGATTGCGCCTGGCGATACATTTCCTAAAGGCATTGATTGCTCCGTTGGTTACGCTATTGCCTTTATATAAATGGGGGGTTTCTTGAATCAAAACTCCATTCAGTCATTCTTCAACAGCCTTCAACTCCTTTCTTCTCTAATTCCTCATCCAAACTTTATTTTCCATGGTTCAAGCCCGTGATCGTAAGGTCACACGACAACTGTTTTGCCATTTATGCCATGGATCTCTTTCAGAGCTCTCCCCCATTGAGTGGGATCGTACCGGTTTGTTGTTATTATTATTGTTGTTGGCCCGAAATAATGAGGGTGGGGCTTCATATGGTTCCCGCATTAGAGGATATGTGGTCCTTGAACTGTTGTTCATCTCTCTTAACTTTCACCTGGTGTGGCGCTTCACTCCCTTTGCTTTCCCCGGAGTGAGGTGGTGTCATCTACTAACTGTTGCATCCCGCACCGGTGCAACGTCTCAAGAAGTGGCTTCACAATAGTAGTGCTG